TGTTTATAAAGACAAAAGAAGAACATAAATGGGCTAGTTTACATTGGAAAAATTGCAAAAAGATCCGAAAACATCGATACGGCTTTGGTGCCGACACCACCGCTTTTGGTGTCGATACCATGCGGTTAAGAATTTGAGTGCACCATATTGAGTGAAATTTAATATATAAGCGTGTATACGATGTATATTGTGGTTGACACTTTTGCTGTATTGTTCAAATTAGCTCCAAGTCAGCAACCACTCTTTAGTTTTCGGATATATCAACAATTTAAGTGGATTTTATAGATGAAATTTGTCCATCAACTTAGTATTGACATTCAATTAATACTTAAATTATAAAATTAGAAAGGTATCATTCTTAATTAAAAAATCTTAAAATTAACACAATAATTTTAATTAGTTCAAAAAAAGTGATATTTTTAATTAAAAAATTAAAAAAATCCTTTTTTATGTGTGAAATCTCAATTTTAAAAAAGATAATTAGAAAAATTTTAAAGTAGATTCCTTCACCTTCTTTTGGGTTATTGGGCCAGAGTGGTTATCCATACTGGATATTATTTTGGGTTGGGTTAGAAACACCAGAATCAAAATAAGAAACACTGGACTAATTAAATATAGCAAGTTGGGCTTAATTTATAATAGTAATATGGGCTCAGCTCTCAATTTCTTTCCGTTGGGTATTCGACACAGTTTTCATTTCCTCTGGGGCGTCACAACACCTAGTTAGACTGTTAGACAGACATACGTCTCTGAATGTCTTACCAAAAGAAATTGGGGAAAAACCAACATTTAGCCTCTTGTCTTATAAAATTGATAGATTTTAATTTTTTACCTTATAATATGACACTTTTAACCTTTTACCTTACAAATTTAGTCAGTTTTAGCTCATCACCTTATAAAGTTGATAGATTTTAACCCCTTACCTTATATTATGACATTTTTAACCACTTACTTATACGAATTGAAAAAATTAACTCCCACCTAATATTAGCTTATAACATTCTGTTGATTTTGTTAACTAACTGTTAACATCCGTTTGCATTTCGTTATAGAAAACATGAAATTCAAATTCAATTTTATTTGTTAGTTCCATTAACAGAATGCTAACCAATGCTAACAGTCAGCTAACAGAATTAACAATCAGCTAATAGAACTGACAATCAACTAATAAAACTAACAGAGCATTAAAACTTGATGTTAAGTGAGAGTTATTTTCTTTAATTTGTATATATAAGGGGTTAAAAGTATCATAATATAAGGTGAGAAGTTAAAAAAACTTACTAATTTTTTAAGGTTAGGGGTTAAAACTTATCAATTTTATAAGATGAAGGATTAAAACCTATCAACTTTGTAAGGTTAAAGACTAAAAGTATCATATTATAAGGTTATGAGTTAAAACTTATCAATGTTATAAGATGAGAAGCTAAAAATTGGTTTTAATCACGAAATTGGACACAACTTTCATATCCTTAAGAGTCTTCACAGTTCACACACCTAGTTTGACGGACTAAAGATCTTTGGAAAAGCCCAAAAATCATGTCCTGAATTTGTGACCTTCTTTATATTTTTCAAATTTTTGTGATTACGTGTTAAGAATATTTTTATTGCATATTATTATTATTATTATTAATTATTATAAAAAATTATAAAAATAAATTTTATTTCCAATACTAATACATTATTTAAACACTAAGATCATATGAAATATTTTAATTAAATAATTGATAAA